AGTGACAGCATGATTCATTGGCCTTCCAGATAGATAATCCTAATAAGTTTAAACCAATACAAACAATCTCGCTTGGTTACTCCTTATTAGGGGTGTCAATATTGGACCGACCTGAAAATTTTGAGTTTGGGTTGACCCGAACCTGAAGCGAGTCGGGTTCGGGTCCAGAAAACTGGCAAAACCGGATCGGGTTCGGGCTGACCAAAAAACTCGGAATGACCCGAACCCGAACAGCAACGAGCAAATTCCTGTCATTGCTTCCGATCAAAATGTTGTCACTTCTGATCCGATGGGAGGGAAAATCGTCATAGGAGCAATGTCTAACAGCCACGAAGGAGCCAAACAGCAACGAGCGAAGTCAAACAACACCTAAGTTGAACAACAACGAGCAAACTCCCATCATTGCTTCCGATCAAAAGGTTGTAACTTCCAATCCGATGGGAGGGAAAATCGTCAAAGGAGAGATGTCGAACAGCCACGAAGGAGCCGAATAGCAACGAGCAAAGTCGAACAGCAATGAAGCCGAACATCATTGAAGCCGAACAACATCGAGCGAACTTTCGTCGTTGCTTCCGATCAAAATGTTGTAACTTCTGATCCAATGGGAAGGGAAAATCGTCAAAGGAGAGATGTTGATCAGCCACCGCCTGCGAAGAAGTGAGTCGAAGAAGCGACGCGTGCAATCTCTACACCTACGAAGCAACGAAGCACAACAACAACGGCGAAAAGAGAAGATGAAAGGCACTATTCGGGTCGGCTCATGTTGACCCGAACCCGAAGCAGGTCGAGTTCCGGTCAAAAAATTGACCTGTTTGTAAAAACGGGTCGAGTTCACCCAAACCCGAATAGTGCCGAGTCAGTTTCGAGGGTTGAACCCATGACCCGAAATTGACACCCCTACTCCTTATACAACAACAATAGCTTTTATCCTACTACATTAGGTCAACTATATGAATCATTTTTTCTACACGGTCATCTTTAGAATCAAATTTTCATTTATGTCTAATAAAAAAAATCACTTTGAAAACTTTCCAACCAAATTTTTTTAGGCTTACCTCTAACTTTCTTAACATAGGTTCCATACAACGGCCCTTACACACTTCTCATTGCATTCAGGTCAAACAACGCATTGCTTCCAGAAAATGCACTAGCATTACAACAACAACAATATCAAGCCTTTATCGCACTACGTGGGGTTGGCTACATGAATCTTTTTTCTCTATTGTGTCTTGTTAAAAATCAAATTCTCGTTTAAATCTAATAAGGAAAGATCATTTATAATATTCTCTAACCAAGTCTTTTTAAGTCTACCTCTACCTTTCTTAGCATAAGTCAAATTTAATACATCTACTTTCCTAACTGGGTCATCAAAAAACCACCGTTTTATGTGACCAAACCATCTAAGGCGACTCTCTGTAATCTTATCTTCCACTGGAGCTACACCAACCTTTTCACGAGAAGATGCACTAGCATTAATACGATATATTAAAATATTTATGTATGATTGTTTGATAGATTTTAAGTTCACTATCGACTACATGATAGAATCCTACATTTATCTCAACCAGAGCTTGAGACCTAAGAACTAAGAACGACAGTTTTAAATAACGGATATAATAAAAGAATCATAAACTCGCTGATCATTAACAATAACATAAATGAATTGAACTGATATTGAATTTCAGGCAAGAACAACATGCAGAGCACCGTAGGTAGGTCGTTTATGTTTAGAAGAAACATATCATTTACAATATAAGAAAACTAAAGCTACAACGCATTCATCATATATTAGTAAAATGAATACAGGAGCAGGAAAAAATAATAGAAGAAAGCTGAAAAACTAGTCTAGCAATCGATCAGGCCACAAATTTCAAGCATCGTGTATCATTGTGTATAACCTGGCAACGGAAAGAACAAAATCTAACCCCACACCTCACGCAAGTGTATGTGGCTATAAATCCACAGACTGTGCAGAAATAACGACGAGAGCTGGACGTTGGAGGGCCTACTGCAGCCCTCAAGTAAGTAGGAACATGCGGAGATGACGACTCTAGATTCGCCTGTTATGGGAGAAATAAACAGAAGGGTGTCAGTGGAGAAAGTGTTTTTTTTTTTGGAACGGGGGTATCTATCCGCTGTCACTCGAAAGAGAGCACTTGGCGGCGTAACTAACCCCTCAACGGAACCAAGCGAGGCCACCTACCGGCATCGGGCCCACACTTGCTTTGCTCCACTGAAGAAGCGAGGCCGTAGTTGAGGGATTCGAATCCGGTATGGGGGGTTCCCAATCGTGCTCGCCCACCAACCACCCTAAGCCTCGGTAGGTCAGTGGAGAAAGTGTTAACATAAACAGCATGACCTTTGAAAATTTTCTCACCTCATGTATTATCTCCAAAAATGTCCTAGGTGCCCTCCTTGCATTCTCCAGTGCTTTTGCCTGTCTGGTTTTCCGCTTGGTACCCTTTTGTTTCTTCTGTACATAAATTACTACAACCATAATACAAAAATATCATTAGTTGCATTCTTTGAAGGGGTAGCTGTAGTTGATAAGATAACAAGTGATTTAAATTCAAATGCATGGAAATGATGAGATTAATTAGTGCATTTGCAGGAATTAGAACATAGGCCCTGCTTGTCACACACTTCTTTTGTAAGCTTCTAGCAGATTAGATGGTATGCAGCACCTTTTTTTTTTTTTTGGAAGAATATTACCTTTTTATTTTTTGGTGTAATTGCCACTAGTTATTTTGAATAGCTGTTGGGTGAGGGAGATTATATATATATAAAGGTAGTGACTAGGTAAATGAGCACTTGATTTTTTTGGGACTTTATTTTAATAAGAGCTTATAAATATAATAATATAATTATAGAGATGGTTTCTTTTAACAAAACCAAATTTATTATCATTCAAAGAGAAAAGCTTCCTATCATATCAGCACCAATGCATCAGATCCCATTAGAACTCCACAGTTGAGCATGTTTGGGTGAAAGTTGTACTAGGATGGGTGACCTTCTAGAAAATTTTTGTGTTGCACCTCTTAGAAAGTATTAGAAATGACATTTCTTTATTAGATTTAAATGAAATTTTGACTCTTTATAGGACAAAATAGAAAATGAATATTCATGTAGCCAACCCCACATAGTGATAAAGACTTGATATTGTTGTTGTTGTCATCGTCGTCAATGAGAAAAGCATACATCACAAAACAAAAATAAAGCATTGCTTTGACACAAAAAACTAAAAAAAAAATACATAAAAAAAACCAGAGTAATTCTAGTGCTTATTTACCAATTCACTATCTTCTTTTTTTAATTGCGAGTAGTCATTTTGGATAGCCGTTGGGTGAGAGATACTATATATAAAGTATAGCAAATAGAAAAAAAAGCATTAGAATTTTTTGGGTCTTTAAGTTTAATTTGAGTTTAGGGTTATAATAATATAATTAGAGAGATGATTTCTTTTAACAAAACAAAATCTATTATCAATGAAAAGCATATATCACGAAACAAAAATAATGCATAGCTTTGAGATAAAGAACTAAAAACAAAATAGATAGAGAAAAGACATAAGATGGTGAATGAACCAACAACCAAAACAAAAGAGCAAATTTTCGGAAGAAGCAGGGACATGAGCTGATTTAGCGGAAAGAGCTGAATTGGGAAAAAATTTAATTAAGAGCAAATGCGCCAATATTATTGGCCCATTTATAGATTCTGCAGAGCGCTATATACTTCAGTGTATTCTTCTTTTTATATCGTAATTAGTTTTTAGCACTGAAAGATTTGCAAAGAAGTGAAACCTGAAATTTTTATGCTGAAATTGGTAATTTTTATGCATTAAAATAATGATTGAAAAGATTGCATGGCTTTTGTATATTATGTATTGCTTGATGTCAATTTGACTCTCTGTCTCAGATGCAACATGAATTAATTTGTAGCAAATATAAAAATAATGGATAGAAATTCCAAATGAATTTAAAAAAGAATATTAGAAATATGAAAATATTGAATAGAGAAAATATATTAAATATAAAAATTAATCTGTAACAAATATAAACATCAATTTATCTATGTTAAAAATATATTAAGAAACAACTCTGTTCGTAAGTTTGTGAAAAAGAAATTATGGGATATGATATCATCTTAATAGTATAAGTTTTTATATTACTTATTTGTTTAAATTAATTTGAACCCGCATGATTTATGTTCTAAGAAAAACCTTGGGCTATATAACATTCGGCATCTGCAGTTCATACGTTTGGATCATAAACTGATAACAGCACTTGTGGAGAGATGGTGTCCACTGACGAACACCTTTCATTTCACGGTCGGAGAGATGACAATAATGCTGCAAGATGTGCAGGTTATACTTGGACTGAGAATTGATAGGCCAGCTATCATGGGCCCGAATGTGGTGGGTGCAGGTCATCGTTGGAAATCCTGGCCAGAATGTTGTGATGATCTGCTTGGTACACATCCAGGCAGAGATATTGTGTATCATGCACCAGGCGATGAAGATGATACGGCCACATTCAGGATGGGTAATGCACAATTAGAGTCAATGCTCCTATTGCGTTGGCTCCGCTGGACATTCTACAAAGAGTCATGCGAGGAGTTAGGTCCCGGTGCTTTCATTACTATTATAGCTACTTGGGAAAATGGGTGATTATTGCTTTATTTTATAAATCAAGATAACAGTGTAATTAAATCAATATTTTTTTATAAACTCATTCTCTTCAATAATTAATTAGAATTTGGTATTTTTAATTTCAAAAAACTTTTCAAAAATATTATTATCATTTTTTTGAAGTAAATTTTTTTTTAGTTACCAATTCACCCCCCCCAATTGATGTTTATATTTGCTACAGATTAATTTTTATATTTAATATATTTTCTCTATTCAATATTTTCATATTTCTAATATTCTTTTTTAAATTCATTTGGAATTTCTATCCATTATTTTTATATTTGCTACAGATTAATTCATGTTGCATCTAAGCATAAAGAGTCAAATTGACATCAAGCAATACAGAATATACAAAAGCCATGCAATCTTTTCAATCATTATTTTAATGCATAAAAATTACCAATTTCAACATAAAAATTTCAACTTTCACTTCTTTGCAAAATTTCAAGTTTCAATTCTTTGCAAATCTTTCAGTGCTGAAAACTAATTATGATATAAAAAGAAGAATACACTGAAGTATATAGCGCACTGCAGAATCTGTAAATGCGCCAATAATATTGGCGTGTTTGCTCTTAATTAAAATTTTTTTTCCCAATTCAGCTCTTTCCGCTAAATCAACTCATGTCCTTGCTTCTTCCGAAAATTTGGCCAAAACAAAAAGCCCACAGGATCAATTAAAATTGTCTTATAAAGTAGAGACTTTTTTCTTTGCTTCTCCTATCATATAGAAATTAAAGATTTTTGTCCACAAACTCCTCCATGCTAAAATACTAAAATAGGCAAAATAAAGAGAACTGGGTACATATATCCCCCATGGTTTAAAATTGTGTAATATGAGGCTCGCCTTGAGGCCCGCCTTTGCGTAATTCCAGTAAAAAACACCTCGATGCTTACGCCTTGAATTTTTTAATGAGGCTTGTGCCACAACTTGGTTGAGGCCCGCCTCGCCTCACGCTATATATATTAAAACTTACATAAATCTTGAAGTAAATGCCCGACATTGGACTCTATATGAGAGGAGGAAGGGGAGAGAGCAGTTCATCATAATGATGATTCAAATGAAGAACCCCTTAGTGATGACAGTGCTGATGACTTATGAGTTCTTATGTGATATGTCATTGCTATTTATTTTTGGAAATTGAAATTATATTTTAATGAAAAGAATATTGAGATTTGGGAAAGATAGAATTTTGAGTTGAACTATATTTCATATTGTCTTATTATTGGGATATTTTGATTTCACTTCATATCTTATATTTTTTTTTTATGTTTTATATTATTTATTCATTAGTATATAAAAAATTTATAATTTTATGTTTACGCAATCTTTTGATTTTGAGTCTTACGCCTCAAAACGCCTTGAGGCTTACGCCTCGCCTCACGAATGAAAAACGCCTCAATACCTGAATACGCAATTTTAAACATTGATATCCCCAATTTCAGGAAGATCGTCATGAGCAAAATCGCAGGAGGGATTGGACCACTAATCAAGTGAAACTATTAATGTAGTAACTCAGATAGGCACAAAATTCAAGGCAGGATCCAAATTTGATTCAAAACTTGAGCACTTACCCGATCAAAAGAAGACAAAAAATGCCATCATTACATTAGAATATATTATTTTATCAGCAGAAGGATCCCCACCGACAATGTTTTAGAGATTTTCTCAATTATGGGCATACCCTAAGGCATTATGAGAACTTCTGAGTGAAGATTTTGCAAGGAAAAGAATACGGAAGGAATGCCTTCAAACTCAATCTTCTATCAACAACCACAATCTGTGGGGCCAAACTAAATTTTATATTGAATAAGACAGATGCTTATACTGTGGGGAGCATGGAGACCGGAAACAATCGTATCAAAAATATAATATTAGGCATGTTATATGTAGAGGAACTAGACATCAAGCTTTGTAGTGCTCAATTTCTCCATCTTTCATGCAACTTTTCAACTCTTCCTATAAATATCTTGCTAAGGAAGCTCTTTGATCAGCATTCCTAGGTTAGAAGAGGCTATGAAAATGTTAAATGTTCCCAAGCCCTCAGAAATGATTGAAATTGAGAAAAAGAAAATCCTTCCAAAGCACCTTGCGCAATGCATTAAGTGCGCATGCTACTGCTTACAAAATTAGGATGAGGAGAGTGTGATGGTAATTCCTTCAACGTTCCTGGTGGGTTTTCCATCCTTTGGTTATTTTATCTTTTATTGGATCCATTGTCACAAAACCTTTAAGTGAAATTTATGTCATTAGTGAGTTTGGCTGAAAAAGGAGTTTTAAAACTTGAGAGGGGTATTGCTTTGGGTTAAGCTTTTTTTATCTTGAAGATCTGCTTACGAAATGGAAGCTTTCACAGTGACTGTGAGGCATACAAGAATTGTGGGTGTCATGCAACAACTCCAAATTAAGTTAAAAGTCACTAATGGTAACCTTAGATCCTTTCTTACACAAGATAGAGGTCTACAATTTGGAGCTACCTTACAAGAGCTCATACGAATCAACAAGATGAGTGGTCCCTTAAAAAAAGTCTAGAGTTTGGCTCTAGATGAAATCAATATTCCTCTTACCATATACAAGGACATTGTTCACCTAGCAATCTTGAAAAGAAGACCAACCATTAAAAAAAATATAAAGGTTGATAATGCAACATGATAGCATTTGATCAGCTGGACCATGGAGAAACTTTGAATCAACCCTACTTTTTCCTTGGCATTCTTATTGTTGTGAAACTCTAGAAAGCACCACTACATTATCTGCACATGTATTGGGAAAGAAGCCAAGGTTATGACTCTCACATGGCAA